TCTCTCTCTCTCTCTCTCTCTCTCTCTCTCTCTCTCTCTCTCTCTCTTTCTCATAGATCATGTTTCTAAAAGGGGAGCAGAAAATACACTAATGTGTAATGAAGCATAGTAGGAAAAATATATTATTAAATTTAGGATTCTCAGCCAATTTATTCAGAAGTGCTAAAAATGGGCATTGCCTCCCTAAATGGATCTGAAATTCTTGTTGGGAGACCCCATCCCGTGGCAGAACGAACACTCTTGGTTCTGTCTTCGCCCCCTACTATACCCTTCAGTCCTGTCTCTTGTCCCTTTGAGACCCACCTGAACAGTCCCCAGGCATTTCCAGACTCTATTTTCCAGGAATTAAGGCATAGAAAGAGAGAAAACAGGTCAGAGGACTGGGATTGGGGGCCATTAATTCAGCCTAGGGAAACAGGAACCCCAGTACTTTGCAGTCAGGCCCTGGCAGCTGAATCTGGTTGGGAGACCAATTCTCTCCTTCAGATCTTCAGGTCCTATAGATGACTCTGCTTGCCCTATGTGTCTGGGACCACTCAGTGACAGCCCCACGGCTGTCCAGCCCTCACCTGCTACTCCTGGACACTTCTCCACCATGCTGCCAGGTACTGGGGACTCCTCAAAGCTAGGAACGGGCTGCAGCAGTGATCTCTCCTTCTTTTAAGCCCTGTTGCAGCACAGGAAGAGATTTGGGTATTTGCCCATTTCCTATGTTCCACCTACAAAGTGGACAGAGGCCTTCACTCTTGGATTCCCCAAATCTATATGCAGCCTCTGAAATGGGATTCAAGTCCATGTTTGACTTTAAAGCCCAGGTACTTCCTCCCACATAAATAACTTTACCTTGACAGAGTCAATGGGCATCTCAGAAAGACAGCAATCTTGTCCACAAATGGGGTAAGGAGACTTGTAGGTAGAAAAATAGAGACATTTCTACAGAGCAGAGCCTCCAAAGAGGTCATGAGGGGGCAGAAACAGAAAAACTGTCAAGCAGAAGCGTGTCCAGTGCCCGTCTGTCTTGTATCCAATGTCTACTGCCTCGTCATCTCATCAAACTTCCTTGTCCATACAAGAAACTCTGAAGAAGTTAACCTGGAAAAGTAAAAAAGATGCAGGGTCTGTATCAGAATGAGTGGATAGGGCATTCCAAGCAGTGGGTCAAAACTGGAGCCCACGGCATGCTCCCGTTTATATGAAATAGTCACACGAGGACACAGAGAGTGGATGAGGGCTTGCCAGGGACACGAGGAAGGAGGAACAGGAGTGGCTGTTGCATGGGCCTGGGGTTTCTCTCTGGGATGGTGAAGATGACCTATCACAGTGGTGACAGCTGTACAACATCATGAATGTCCTGGAAGTCACTGAGTTACATGCCTTACAGTTGTTAAGTATGAAGTTGGCATTAGGTGAATCTCACCTCAAAAGAAAAAAAAAATCTCCATGTGCTTGGGTTTGGTACTTCAGGCTGTTTATCTGTGGTTGGGGAGACGAGGAGGACCTGCTTGGAGCAGGGCATAGGGTGCAGCACCCTCTCCTGGGCTTTGCCCTGGGAGGTGCAGCTCAGGAAGCCTCCTGCCTACTCCATCATCCCACCACTCTCCTTAGAAAGTCCTCGTGAATCTGGTTCAGACCCTCCAGCTCTTTGTAAGTCGTAAAGAACTTCTGAAGTCTGGGATTCTGTCATTTTCCAAACCTAGAGCTGGAGACAGATTTCTAGTCCCAATAGAAGGCACCCGCCTACTGTCTGGGAAAGAGGGTCCGCCAGCTGTTTCCCTCTCCTTCAAGCCCCCGTGAAACACGACATCATTCTCTAAAACAGCCTTATGATGTGCCAGGACTGATACTGAGAGTTTCATTTAATCCTCACACACACTCTCTCTCTCTCTCTCTCTCAACACACACACACACACACACACACACACACACACAACCCTATGAAAATGAAAATGGTATTGCCATTCCCAGATGAGAATACAGTCCTCATTGGTTAAGCACTGTGCTCACCATCAGGGGGTGACTGAGTGGAAGGGTAGGGATTAAACCCCAGCTGCCTCCAAAGTCCCCATCCTCAGCCGTGATGTCCTTCTGCCTCTTTCCTATCAGCTGTGGTGGGTTCCTCTCAGGGTTCCTGGTCACCACCTCCTTGGCTTCTTAGTCCTCCCAGATCCACTGGTGTTGAGATTCTAGAGAGAAAAATGATGACAGCAAGCTTACAATTCAGGTAAGAGCAGACTAGTCTGTACTAGCACTTTACCTGTGTCCCTTACACAGAAACCAAAAGCAGGCAGACGTGAGGGAACCCAATCCTTAAAGGAAAAGCCAGCATGTTGGGTGAGAACCATGTTGACTGGCTCTGGCACACTCCTGTTTACACTGTAGATGGGGATCAGTGACTGGAAATCAAGGAGGAAAACCTTGCAAATAAGGGAGCTCCAAGGCTCTGAAACCTGCAAACTCACTTTCTTCAAACCTTGGCTGCCGACTGCAGAGTTTGAGTTTCTCATCCGTGGAGTTAGAGAAGCTTTGTAGACGTGGACCATGCTGTAGGAGGACCAGCCACATCCTAGAACTGGTTGCATTCTAAGGTCAAAACTGAAAGATGCTCACTCTAATAAGTGTTAAAGCTGAACTTCCCAGGACTAAGGCAATCTGTCAGTGATTTAATCATCTGGGAAGACAAAATGATATTTTTCATAGAAAGATAGTAGAACCTAGAGACTTTACTGTGTAGTAAGCAAATAACATAATTTTTAAAATATTTGGCATGTAAAGGACATACAAGGGAAAATATGACCCCTGAGAGAATAAATAGTCAATAGAAGTAGACCTGAAAATGAGTCCAATGTTGAAATTTGCAAACACAGACCTTGAAATAACTATAATTAAAATGCTTTCTAAATTTTACAGGAAAAGATAAATATAACAGGGGAAGGGCTGATGAATTTGAAGAGATAAACAAACTCTAAACGTAAGCCAGATGTAAATCTGAAAATTCAAAGATATTGTGATTGAAATAAAGACTTCCCTAAATAGGAGACCAGCAAATTGGTTACTTTGAAATTCAAAATGAAAGTGAAGACAGGTCAATAGAAATTATTGAAATTGAACCACAAATGGAAAAAAAATTTAAACATGAATAAGTGAGTATTGAGGCCTTGCATTCAATCCCCAACACCAAAAAAGGAAGGAAGGAAGGGAGGGAGGGAGGGAGGGAGGAAGGGAGGGAAAGGAATGAATGATTAATGAGTGGGTATATCCCCAAAGAGACTCGTACAGGAATATTCATAGGCACTTCACTCATAGAAGCCCAAACCTGGAAACAACCCAATGTCAATCAACAGAACTGGATAATGCATCCACAATGCATGTAAACAATGGAATAAAACAATACAAACAGGCAAATGGCAGCTTTGTACAGGATCATGAATGTGTCTCAAGGATGTGCTGTGAACTGAAGAAGCCAAGCCCCCAAACAGCGTAAGTTCTTTGGTTCTATTTATATGAAATTCCAGAACAGTCAGAATATGATTCTCCAGGAAGAGAATGTGACTGGGAAGGGGCAGGAAGGAACCTTCTGGATGCTAGTCATGCTGTATATCTTGAGGTGGGTGTAATTAAATGAAAGTATACCAATATAAAAATTCATCAAGCTATCCACTTAAGACTTGGCACTTTACTGAATATACACTATACTTCAAAGCAAAGTTATTTAAAATTATGTATTTCAAAACCATCCTAAATAGTGTGTCAAATATGGTTCTCTCAAATCTCCACATAGAATGCTTATTTAGCTTTTTAAAATCCTGAAATAAATGTTTCATAGAACAATACTTACATGGGAATCTGGCTGACATTCAGTCTATTAAAAAATGTTAATGCAGGTCACAGCTCACAAAATTGATTTCACAGCCCACTAATAGGCCATAAGCCATGAGGCAAAAAAAAAAAAAAAAAAAAAGCAGAATCTAAATGGTAGGAAGTCACTGAAGGGGTTTAACAAGAGGAGTGACCTGAATACACCTGGGTTTTGTTTGTTTTGTTTTTGTTTTGTTTTGGGGGGTGTAGAGGGGTTACTGGAGATTGAACCCAGGGATATTTAGCACTGAGCTACATCCCCAGTACATTTTTTTTTTAGATAATATCTCAGTAAATTGCTGAGGCTGACCTCAATCTTGCAATCCTCTTGCCTCAGCCTCCCAAGTCACAGGGATTACAGGTATGCATCAACGCATAAGGCTCAGACTAGCATTTTAGAAGGCTTTGTCTAGGGCAAAGGGTCTAACGTGTGAGACCAGAGCCAGGGGACAAGGCTGGGGAAGGGCCCTGGAGCAGAGGGCCTGATTCAGGTCTCTCGGGTCGTATGAATTTGTCTGTTCTTTGGGCTCTGAATTGGTCCCTATTCTTCATCAGACCTGGCCTGAGTGCCACATGGAGTCAAGAGCGTACAGGGAAAGGAAGCGGCCCGTTCTCTCCAGACGCTGGGAAAAGTCACAGTTCACATGTGTCATTCATTCCTTTTAAATAGACAAGATCTCCTCCAGGCACTGAAGAAAGTGACAGCACACTCAAAGTTCTGCAGCCAGTGAGTGACAGAGGCTCAGAATCCAGGTGTGCCCAGTGAAAGGTCCGAGGCTTTTCTAAATAAGAGGCCTGGGCGTACCCTGGTTCCAGGCCGGCTGCAGAGCAGGCCTGGCTCATGCGCGTCCTCACGAGCTCTCTGAAATCTTCCAGGGCGAGTGGGGAAGTCTCAATGCCACAGTGGGCTGCCGGGTGGTACCAGGCTTTCACAAGCACTGCTGAAGTGTGGTCACTTACGACTTTTCCCCGCAACTTCAATCCTTTCCTAACTAGGCCCTGAGCACCACAGGCCTCCTGGCCCCAGGACTGGCACCGGGCAACTTGGGCTGCTGCTGTTGCTCCATCTCTGGCCAGGGTCATGGGGCCATGGAACTGGTGACAGAGTCAGGGAGGAAGGAGGAGAGGCCTGGAAGGACCAGTTTTGTGAGGGACCTGGCCTAGGCTGACCCCACAGCTCCTGCTGCATGTCCGCCACGTGCTGTATGGTGAGGAGCAGCAGCTGAACTGAGCTGAGTGTGTTTTCTCTCTGCAAGCCACCCCCCCTGCCAGGTAACTCTGCAAGAGAAGAGGGGATCCTGAGGCTGTTCCGGGGCTCTTTCCCAGGGGTCATCCTGGTTGCCAGCCTGGGTCGTGGTCCTGTACCATCTGTACAGGCAGCCAGGGTGAGGTGCCTGTCCTCTCTGATCGCCCTTCCCGTGTCTGCAGCCGGCTCACAAAGCCCCTTAACCTCTCCCTGGGCCACTCTTGCACTGATGGCAGAATAGGGGCGGCCTGGGAAAGCCGAGCAGGCTGGTTTCAGCTCCGCTGGGCTCTCCACCAACCAAACCGCCACAGCGGAAGGAATCCTGGTGGCATTCCTGCCGTCTGATGGCTCCCTGCTGCAGGTCTGCCTCGTTGACTTCCCCGTTCTCCCTCCTCCTCTCTTGCATCCTGGAGAAAGGCTCCGGACCCACCCCTGTGCATTCTCAGGAAAGGTCCCCACCAACCATCTGTCCCCTCCCTCCTCAGGTGGTCCCCAGCTGGGCCGTTTCTCTACCTGTCAACCCCTCTTTCCTCCTCTTCACTCACTCCCTGGGTCTTCCTGGGAAACTAAGATTTGTTTTCAGATGCAAAATTAAACATCCAGAGGTGAACTCAAAGGAGGGAAGAGGGGAGAGGGAAGGAGAAAGAGGAGGAAGAAGGGGGAAGAGAACCAGCCCTACCCTCAGGCATTTCTCCTGACACCTGGGCCAGCTGCGGCCTTAAGCTGTCTTCTTCAAGACAAGCACTAGGGGGAAAGGCCTATATCTGTCTCCATTTCCTCACCTCCTATTTATTTCTCCACTCAGAGCAATCTGGATTCCATCCCCACCTTCGCTACGAAAACTGATCTGCCTTCAGCAAGGAGCACCCACTACAGGATCCAACAGGCTAAATCAGCAACTACAGCAGCACAGGCTTCTCCTGAGCACAGGTCCTGAGCAGGCGCACCCACCGCACTCCTCCCTGAGACTCTCCTTCCCCTGGCCCCTGTGGCTCTGCCTTTTGCTGGGATACACCCTCTGTTCTGGTGGAACATGGTTTGTGTCCCCCAAGGGTCCACTGAGATCAAAGATTAGGTCCCCAGGTGCCACTGTTGGGAGGTGACAGAATCTTTGGAGGTGACCCAGTGTGGTCACTGCAGATGTGAGGTATTTCTCATGTAACCCACTTGGCAGTTCCTATAAGAGGGTTACTAGAAAAGGAGCAAGCCCTGGTCCTGTCCATTTTCCTTCACACTCCTCCTGTGTGAGATAATATAACTTGCTCCTATGTGAAACCGCACCATGGTGCACCATGCCAGAATCCACTGCCATCAATACAGGACAAACTGACACCCCCTCCAAAACCAGGAATGAGCCGCCAAAACTGTGAGTTAAATAAACCTTTTCTCTTTATAACCTAGCTGCCTCTGGTATTATGTTATAGCAACACAACACCCTTAGTCTCCCTCTTTTCATTCTTCCTCTATTAAGCCTTAAATGCCAAGGCTATTTCCTTTGCCTCCTTCAATCCTTACTTTCTTCACTCTGCCAGGGAAATAACATTCAAATCTGATTCCAACCACCAACACTAGCTGCCCACTGATGCCTGCCCAAACAATGACAATAAATATTTATCTACAGACAGTGCATGTCCATGCTGAACAACCTCACAACAACCCTCAGACACAGGTTCCTTTCTTATCCATATATCTTCTGTGAAAGTCTAAGGAGCTAATCCAAGGTCCTGGTTATTTTTATTCACTCTACCATTGAGCAACACTCCCAGACCAAGGTCATAATTATTAAGAGGCTGTTCTCAAAGTCTGGACTCATTGCCACTCATGGTTTCTGGCAAGATGATAAAGTAACAGGGGCTGCTGGCTGCCTCCTCAAAGTGTGAAGATGAGACAGAATTAGATGAATCTGAGGAAATAAGGGAAAAACTGTGAGAAACCTCTGGGGCGCCATAAGATTGGGGGTCCCAATGCAAGATGTAGAAGAGTAGGCCAGGAAACAAGAGGGCAGCCAGGGACCAGCCAGCTCACAGAGTGTGCAAAGGATTTGGGAGATGTTTTCCAGGAAATCGTAGGCCAGAGCTGTAGGGCAGGAGCACAGCTTGCCCAGCCTAGTGGGCTGGGAGCAGAGAATTGCAGGTACCTGGCTCTGAGCACCTCCCCACCCCATAGCCTGAGGACCAGGACATTCCACCAAAGAAAAACAGCTCTCAGAAAAGGCAGTGCCCAAGGGTAACACAGGTAGGGAAATAAGCAACAGCAGTGGGATCCAAAGGATGAGGCCAGAACACCCCCTGAGGGGTAGATGCAGCCACACGGTTCCCATGCTCAACTCTTCACAGAACCCAAGCCATGCCAGGGCTTTCATCACCCCTGGACAAACATGTCAGCCAAGACAGATGGGACCCCAGGGAAGGCTAGTGCATAGGAGTTTGTGTGGTCGAATAACATCTGAAGGGGTGTTATAGGTTAGATATCAGGTGGCCCCCAAAAGCTAATGTGAGACAAGAATGTGCAGAGATAGAGTGATTAGATTATGAGACCTGTAACCTAATAAGTGGATTAATCCACTGATATGGATTAACTGGGTCGTAACTGTCAGCAGATAGAGTGTGGCTGGTAGTTGGAAGAACTAGGTCTCTGCAGTGCGCCTTTGGGGATTATATTTTGTCTTTGGTGAGCAGAGCGCTCCCTCTCCCTCTCTCTCCTCACCTTCCCCTCCCCCTCCCTCTCCCTCCCCCCC